ATATCCCAAATGTAGATGTCTTGGACCTCAAAATTAAGAAAACACTCAACCTGCTGCACATCCGAGTGACCATAAAGTCCAGCATAAGTTTCAGCAACAACTTTACGATTCCAAGCTTGCTTCTGTAGAGCCTCTTGGCTACCTCATCTCTTCAACTGAAATAAAGCCTCAACTTGGACTGCAAAGTAATAAAGTTTTATTTAGCATAACCTGTCCCAGAAATAATGTAAGTAGTAAAAAAAAAACAGGGGTGAGGGACTCACCTGGGATTTCATTTTTCAGAACCGTTTTAGAATGGTTGGATCCTGATAAAACTGTTTTCTTGGAAAGGAAACAAAAGTTAAGTTGAATTTTATATTTTGAGGTCAAAGAAGATCAGCTACCACATTTCCATGAATAATAAACTGTTTGCCACCACCACAAGTCCACTAATGTTAGTCATAGGGATCTGTTGTTCTCATTTTCATTTTGTTTTTTTTTTGTTTTTGTTTTTCAGTACTAGGGATTAAGCCCAAGGGTGCTTAACCACTGAGTTACATCCCCAGCCCTTTTATATAATTTATTTAGAGACAGGGTCTCACTGAGTTGTTTAGGACCTCGCTAAGATGCTGAGGCTGACTTTGAACTTGAGGTCATCCTGCCTCAGCCTCCTGAGCCATTGGGATTACAGACATGTGCCACCATGCCCAGCTCTTGCTTTAAAACTCTTTGAATGTGTATGAAAATAAGATATGTAATATAAGGTGGTCACCCAAATTTATAGTAAAAATTTTCCCAAGAGAACACCATTAAATGGAAAAAAGTCTTTATAAAAAATGAAATAAGGTGGCTGCAGAAAAAGTTTATTTGAGCTCAGTATAAATTTAAATTCAAATTTCACCAGAACACATTATCACAAAGGTGACACTTTAGATCTATGAAACACTTGAAGCTTAAGAAATTAGGACAGGCAGATGAGAAGAAAAACTGATCGTATTCCTAGTTTTGAAGTTTTCTGTATGAAAGGATATATGTCAAGATCTACTCATGTGTCCTGAAGGGTGTGGAATTTTAGTGGAAAAAAGAGTGATTGTTTTTTGTCTTATTTTCTTTCTTCATGGAGCATGTATTTTATCTTAAGCCATCTCACCAGTGCCTTACATCTTGGTGTCAGGATGGGCAATTTCATGCTATTTGGCCTAAAAACTGGCAACTTCTGAGAGACAGTGATAGGATGCAGGTATTCTAATGTCTGTCACAACATGAAGGGTATTCATTTAACTGAGATAAAACAAAATCAGATAAACAAAAGACATCCAGCTGCCTGATTTCAAGGGTTAGAAAGGATGGTTTCTTCTCACTCAATTAAAGATTTTAAACTATTTACATCAAATAAAATGAGAAAACCTACTCATTGTTTCCTTTCATCTCATGGTGTGGGGTTGGGGAGGGGTTCTTTTTCTTAAAATGGAGTTATTGAGATGTAATTCACATAGGATACTGTCCACCCACTCAAAGTATACAATTCAGTGTGCTTTAGCATATGTATAGGATTCTACAACCATCACCACAATATAATTTCAGAACATTTTTATCTCCCCTAAAAGAAACCCCATTCCCATTAGTTTCCACTCTCTGCTCCCTGTACCCCCAGCCCTAAGCAATCACCAATTTACTTTTTGCTATAGATTTGCCTGTCAATTTTTCTTTAAATTGCCATGCATGACCTGTACCACTGAATTTTTTTTCCTCATTATCATAAGAATTAAAAAATGTGATAAAGCCTTCAAAAATGTGAATAGGTATCCAGAAAATTGTAGCAGCATGATCAAAAGATATATTGAATTCAGTAGTATCTGATGGCTTAAGTAGTCTCTAAGCAGTGAAGATATTGATTTAGACAGATTGCAATATCACTTAAATGCCAATAATTTTAATTATAAACCTGAAGCAGGCTAAGGTTGCAGAAATGTCTCGTGCTCATAAGAACAACAATATTTGCAAATGCATTTTCTGACTTCACTACTTGCTATCTGTGTGACTTTGGGCAAGCATGAAAATTCATGAAATTAGCAGAGATAGAGCATTTAGGACCAAGCCTGACACATAGTGCTCAATAAATGTTAGGTATTATTTTATCATTTTAACTCATAAGAACACAGTAATTTAGGTCAAATTCCAAAGAAGAATTCTTAACATATGCCAACTTACACATTTAATTAGTATTTTTGAAGTCTCTCTTCAAAGACATTTCCTGCCATGAAAGCGATAGAGCATGATTGAAGATGCTGTAATGTAGGAAGAACAGCATTGATCAAGTATGATTATGAAGAAAGCTGTAACTGGCCTTCAGTTACTTTAGAATCATGCATTCTATAAATAGCAAAAGTGCTTGCTAATTTATTACTTTCACCTAAGAACTCTTGTTGCAAATTTTCCTTCTATATTAAAAAACCAATTGCAGCAACAAAAAGCTTCCATAATGGTCTTATACCTAATAAAATAAAGAATAATATTAGAGCATTATAAACCACATAGTCTTTTATAGTTGAAATGTTTAAGACCCTAAACATGACTTTTTAACTCTGTGTGAGCTAAAATTGTGATTTGGTTTTGTGTCCATAATGTGAGGAAATGTAACCCAAATAATTTAGTTACCTTCTCTTTAATTCAAATGCAAAATGGCATTTGTAATAAGACTATGTTAGATAATTTCTGAGGTATTATGTACTTTTCTGTTCTCTTAAAAAGTGTGGTGCTAAGTATTATGTCCCAATCAGATAACTCATGACACACAACATTTTCATACTTGGGAAATGTTAACACATTACAGTCCTTGCTTTGAAACATAAAAGAATTAATCACAGACAACACCATTTCACTTTCCTTTGACCCTTTAGACAATTTAATATGGTTTGCATGCAATCCCATTTTAGGCCCCAATGGCCTATACTTTATACATCTGTTTGTATGTTATCACCCCAAGCTTTCCTCCTCTTGGCATTGTTTTGTATTTGCATGAAAATTCATAATTTTTGCATGAAAAGTCATCTGTGCTGTTGAAGATAAATGTCTAACATGCCTTGTAAATATCACATACCATTACTTACATATTTTTTTCTTTTATTTTCAGTTATTGAAGTTTAAATATGCTTGAAATGTAAAAGTGGCATGAAACTGTAGTGATGCAAGAATATTTAATGTTCCTTTAAGGTTTATCATTCTTACCTGGGAAAACTTGGGGGCTATTCCCAACCTAGTCTTTGGACACTAATCTTCAATTACAAATTATGATAAAACTATACTGAACACAGGTGCTGTCAACAGAGTAATAACTTCTGAAGTAAGTTTTTTTCCTTAGCTCTTTCACATGAAGTGTAAAATTTGTCCCCTGACTTCATAAATTATTAAATATTTTATTGTTTTTCACAAAACCTTCCTAATGTGACATAAAATTAAGCTCAGTTGACTTTGGCGAATTCCTAGTACCTAAAAAAGTAAAAATAACTTACTGAATGACAGCACTAACATTTTAGTACCTTAATGCTTTCTCAATGCCAAAATGGATATTTGATATAAGAGTGCATGAATACACAAAGAGAGTAAGTCATTTGCACAATTTCATCAAGCTTCAAATTAAAGAGCCCTTGACAGTGTCCAACCAATGGGAGAAAGTGCATACTTCCAAGCAAGGCTCCTTTCTTCCAAGGCTCCCTGCTTGCTCTGCACTTATTCCCCCCGACTGCCATTGCTACCACACTAACACTGTTTGAGAATACCCTTTAGAGAGTCCTTTAGAGCCATCAGCACATGGATTTTAAAACCTGTGTAAGGAGTGATTATAAACTTTCTTATGAAGTGAATAGACTCTCAGTACCAAAGCAATCAAATCAGGATGGTAATCAAGCTGGTGAAACATTTTCAATGACATATGAATATAAAATTAATAAGACTTGCAGGGCTTATAGCTTGAAAAATGATCGTGGACACATTTCCCAAAGAAGAACCCCTCAAAGCATTCATATAAATATTAGCAATGGTGGAATAAATGGAATTTTCTTAAGTATTTCAGATGACTACAGCATAGTCACTGGAATGAATAATTTCAATATTATGTATGTAGGTGTTATTTTTAACTTGACCTCATTTAAGCTAATGGAGGAGTTTACACATTAAAAGACAGTCATTCTACATTATTTTTATCTTATCGGAATGTAGATGAGTGACTGTCACTTCCCCTTGGCTGAGTGAATATCAAGTTAATGCCAATTTAGCAGCAATTTTAACAGCTTTTGGTTGACTGTCTCCTGACTGTCACCAACTAGTTCTGTGATATTGGCATGGGACTCAACCTCTTTGTGCCCTGGCTCCTTAAATTATCTTTAAGTTATCATCTGAATAGAAATGCTATAATTATCATATATCTGTGTGTGAGACTATAATTATCATATATCATAAATCTACATTCTTCTCTGTATACTTTAATTAAGTTCAAGCTGAAGTAACTCAAAATTTAAAAAATAAAAGTAAGGGTAACTAGACACAGAGAAGAAAACTAGTTTCTCTAATAGTCTTTTCCACCTGATGGTAAGATGCCATTTTCCTAGCTCTATTTGTTTACATTATTGTCTTGTACAAGTCTCACATCCCAGTATCTTCATCACCTTTTACAGATGAAGATACTGAGGTTAAGAGAGATTCAGTTACTTGTCAGAGGTGATGGACTAGCAAGATACAGAGCCAAAGACTCTGGGTCTTCCAATTGAATACTTACTCCCTCCATCACCGTTTATCTCTGAGCAGGCTTTTGATTATGAGGCGATTTTTCCAAGGTGTCATCATTCAGAATTTACACTCCTTGAAAAGAAAATCTGCCTTTAGAACACCATGGCACCTCTGTGGAATCTCCACTTGCGTCACTACAGCTGTCTCTGCTTTTACAAACTAGTTGTTTTGTCAGCATGAGTGTGACAACAATTAGACGTCCCCTGTTTTTGCCCCATGCCTTTTCTCCTTCACAGTCATTCAATGACAAGCGTAAAAAGAGCTTCATCTTTTCACGAAAATTCCCATTCTACAAGAACAAGGAGCAGAGTGAGCAGGAAACCAGTGATCCTGAACGTAAGTAGATTCTCCAAGATAATGTCACATGCAACACAAGAGGAAAAAAAAATCCTTCACGGGCAACACGCATGATGTAGGCTCTCCCACGCCACACGCTAGGCAAACGACACAGCAGGCAGGCAGGTCAGGTCTTACTACTGTGACCAGTGTTTGACTGCAGTCTGGATCCTTCCCTTCCTGTGGCTCTTCTTTGTAGAATGCTTTGGCAAGGGAGATATGGAAACTGGGACTTCACATCTAACCAGCCTTTTTTGACCAGAAATGGGTATGATTTGCTTTTTCTCTCATGTAAGGGCTTGAGACTGATTTCCCTTCTGGGCAGAAATATTGGGTTCCATTGCTGCAGAAACTTTTTTGAAACGCTCACTAACTGGGAGCAATTAAATTACTTTTGTTGATTCTGGCATATTGGCTCCCTCTTTCCCTTCCAGTAAATATTAAATACTCTCTCAGCAGTGAGCATGTATTGGTGGACACTAAGTCTCAGAATTTGATATGAAACATGGAGGGAATCGTTCCTCTAAGAGGCACATTTCTGTGGCAATATTAACGGATGGCATTTGCCAAATCTTTTTTTTCTCCCTCTTTTTATGTTTTCAGACTTCTGCTTATACCTTTGGAGTTGCTTTCCAAATCAGCAATTTCTGCCCTAAGTCTCAGCCCAGGGAGTTTGGGGTAAAAGTTGTTTTAAAAGCACAGAGTGGGATCCAGATTGTTTAGGCAACACGGTCTGTCATGGTAGTATCCATTTCAACTCCACTGACTTCTTCCTTCCTCTTCCGTGGCTGTTCTTCCTCTCTCATTGCTCTCTCTGGGGACTTCCATGCAGGACATCCCCGGATTAGGTGACGACGGTTATGGAACAAAGACTCTGAGTAAGTTTCCAGGAATGGTCACTGTAACTTTTCTTTTCTTTTCCTTTCCTTTTGAGTTTGGCTTTTGTTCCTTTTCTTGAGGGCCTTTCACTCCTAGCATGCACAAGATACGAGTTTTATTTGTTACCTAGCTGTGAATGCTCCTACAAAATAATTTTCAATCGTTTTGTTCTGCATGTCAGCATTTAAAAGCAAAGTGTGTCAGGCACTCTAACTTCTGTTGCAGTTAACTCCTTCCCTTTCTGACCATGTGATATGGCCAACATGGTCCTGATGCTCACCATAGCATCACTTGCTCTACTGCCTAATTCTTCCCCAGAGAGCAAGAAACCATGTTGCAAGAAAGGGTGAGCTAAATGTTCTAGAAAAGCAAAGTAGAAATCTACTTTATGTTCTTTCTTCTGCCTTTTCACATGGAAATATTTAATTAGCTTGCCAAATTTCATAATCGAATTGTACTTTGCTATTAGTAAAGGAGCTACTCTGTAGTCAAAAGGAACATGCATTCTTGAAAAATAAACATTAAGCTATTTGATCTTCCATGAGTAATTCTTTGTCATTAACTTTGATCTTTTCTGACTTGCAGTGATCCTGCTTGAAACGTTTGTATGATAAAGTTTTAGATATGTATTAATATCTTTTTCTATCAGTGATTAATTAGCTGCATTACATAATCAAGTCTTTTGTAGCATAGAACAAAAATAATATGTATTAGACCTTTACATTCTAGTTATTCATGTTTTCAGTCTGTGTCTTATTGCATTTAGCAATTAAAACTAATTTTCCTATGTATCAATATGCTATGATTTTTCTTTCTTTAATACTAATCCTATTGTGTAGGCACCAATGAAATAAGAACAGAATTTTGTGTCTTTTGCAGTTGTATCACATGTTCAATTTTATTTTGACAGCTATGGGTGATATTTTTATAAGCTGTTCATGTCATTTTATAAAACAATAGCATTGTTTTCAAGGGCTGTTTTACATAATCTCACATAATACCTTTCATACTTCAAGTTGTTCATTTAGAGTGGTTTTTAGATATGTATACATAGAAAACAAAATCTGATCGGGAGTACTGATCTCTTTAAAGATGAAAACTTTATCTTTGAGGCATTACAAGAATATGATGAAATTTTTCTTGAATTAGTGGGTAAAATTCAAATGCTATTTTCAACATTATTGCCATAGTATCAAGCATCATCAGAGAGAGTTTGTAAATTTTCAATTTGGGAGGGAAAAGGAAATGTTTTAATATATTATTAATATTGAAAATCAATAAAAATCTTCATAACCCCCAGTTCAAAGTACTTAAGGTAATAATGCCTGTGAAAACACACCATTGTTGGTCTTGATGGTCTTTGTGATAGAAAACAGACTTGCACAGTTGCATTCACACTTCTTTCTCAGTGCCCCTTTGCACTTAGAATATGTGTGCCCAATTAGCAATGCAGAAAAGATTTGTGTAAATTTAACATACTTCAGTTTTCATGAATTTCATGCAGCAAAACAAGTCTATATAACTGGCAAGAATACATAATATCTAAGCATTTTAAAGTGCTTTTTCACTATTAGAACATAATATTATACTTTTCCTCTTTCGTGTCAATCGTACGACAGGTCAATTTTTTTAAAGCTGAAGTTATTACCAATGAGCTTCAGAAATCAAATAATCTCATATACTTAACTAAAGTGATATACAAAAATGTTGATGATTTGATCATCTATAATTTAAATAGTACAGATAAAAGCAAATAACTTCAGAAATGAAAGTGCTAATTCTGGCACGTAACCAGTACACACATCCCTGATATGTTAGCTAAGCTGTATTGTATGAAAAAAACAATTCGGAATGTCACTCTATGAGCACATTATTCAGAATGAATTAATGACAGACTTCATGCTAGAACCAGCCTGAGCATCAGGCCATTTAACGATTGCCTAGTTGTACCCACAAAACCCAATAGCTATCCAGGCAAAGCTCTTAATATAAAAACAAGAAAATACTGAACTAATTCACAAAACATTTTCAGTGACTTCTTTCTTCCAATATTTTTCTTTTCACTCACTAAAACAGGAAAGATCTTCAAGCCTCCCTTTCAGCCTGAGAATTAGTTTAAGAAGTATTTAAGTAGAAACAAAATTCAAGAAATTCCAGGGATCAATTGGTGATTCAGTGTTCCTAGAGAATAATTAAAGGCCCAAATAGAGAAACGCCTGCAACAAAACAGTGCCTGCATACCTGAAGCTCCTGGATTTATAGTTAAGAAGATATTCAGTTGAGACACATTGGCCTTTGTAACATGAATCTGGAAATCCAGCTGTAGGAATGGGTCATATAGTATTTATAAAAAGAAAATTGCATAGGTTGACATTCATTTTTTAATTAAAGATACTTTCCTTGTTTGCTAAAAGGAGGAAACAGCAATCAAGCAGCAGTTTCCTGTAAAATGGCGATAAAGTTTTCATCTTCTTTATCTTACCTGAATTTTCTTAATGCAATCTACTCTGCAGCCTTTGACTTGCCTTTTGCTCACATTTCTAGTAGCCTTGCATGCATGTATTTCTTTCCGTTCTGGCTGCATTCCAATGCTTGGTATCTCTTTAATTTGCTGTGCTGTTCTTGCAGAACATGTTTCTTCTAATGCCAGCGATAGCGAAAGTAGCTACCGTAAGTTACTGCTTTGGTTTGCGGTTCTTTTCTTTGCAACTGCTCCATTGCCTGTGATAGTCATTTCAGAGTTTTGTTGTTGTTTTTCAATTGCTGCCTTTTGTCATCCTTATCCAAAGCAAATGGCTTGAAATGAAATCAGTTTTGGTTGCAGAAAGATACAGAGGACACTAGGGCCATCAGTGGACCCTAATGAGATTTGTGCAAGCAGTCAATCTTGCTAATTTCAATTCCAACCTCAGCTGGTGGTGACCCAATGATTCAATTCTCACAGAGAAAGTGCAAAAAAAGTTCAACATAGTGGATTTTGAAATTCCACCGCCTGCCTCCCCCTGATCAATTTAAACTCCCTGCAGGAGGGTGAAGAAGTCATTATGATTTTATTTTCCTTATCATTTTCCCTTTTTCTGTTTTGTTCCCTTTTAAATCAGACATGAATCTTATATCACTTTCTCCTTGCTTAATATTTTAAACTAGATACTTTATCTATATATCTAACTTTATTTGGGGGATGGTTGGGAAAGCAATGAGAAAGTTTCTTCCTCTAATGGTGAAGGAACCCCCATTTGGGGGGAAAAAAGTGAGCAAATAAGATAACTGAAAAGGTAGGTAATTATTTAAAAATTATTTCTGTTTTTTTCTTTGGTCACCTCAAGCCATTTGCTTAGTGTATGGAAATATTCACCAAACACCAAACACATCCTTTTGTTCAGTTCTTGTGGTTTCTTACCACCTACTTACTGGTTTTTGGTGACTAATATAGGTACAAATTGTCATTGGGATTCTTAGAACTTTTATAATATTAATTTGTACTCCTTCATGAAAGGGATTTCCCAAAAAGCAATTGCCAAGGATATTAGAAAACTGCAGGCCCAATACATGACCACAGCTACCAAGGCAGAAATTGGTATTGTCTTTTGCTTAAATATTATAGTAATTAAAAACTAAAATCAGCTGGGGTATTTTCCCCCATGATATCATCACACTTTACAAGATTTTTTGAGTTGGAATACAAAATAGTGTTGTGGAATATTTTAAATGTAATTTGGATTTTGAGAAAGGCATTGGAGAATCAGATTAGTAGCAGGTTAAAAAAAAAAAAAAAAGGTGCAGAAGAAGAAAGATGGCAGACAAAGGTCCAGATGAGGCAGATGAGAGAGATGAGACATGCCAAAGAATGAAGAGACAAAAATTTCAATGAGCATATTTATCATATGATATTAGAATCACCCAATTTTCTTATCAATAGAAGTCTTAGAAGTTCACCAAGTCTTATTGAAGGAAGGATTAAAAGGGTAGCTTTCAACATGATTCTTGACATTATGAGTTTCTTCTGACTCTTATAAATTTTTGACTAACCCAATTAAAAACAAATTGTTTCTCCCATTTTTCATTTGATTTTAAACCAAAAAAAAAAAAAAAAAAAAGCCACAAGCCAAGAAGTAACCAAAGCTTATCTTCTGACTTTTGTTTTACTACTGGAGATTAAATCCAGAGGTGATTTACCACTGATACACACACCCAGTCCTTTTTTAATTTGTTGTTTTTGTTTTGTTTTTAGTTTTTGTGGGGTTTGTTTTGCTTTGGTTTTTTTTTTTTTTTTGAGACAGTGTCTCCCTGAGTTGCTGAGACTAGCCTCCAACTTGTGATCTCAGCTCCCTGGGATTACAGGTGTGCAGCACATCTGGCTTTCTCAATTATACAATTTATTTGTTGGCTTTCATGGAAACCATTGATACTAATTTCTTTAGTGTTCAGTTTTTAATTATCAAAACTGTTCTTTCTTCCAGTAGACAAATACATGGGAAAGGAAAACACCATGCCTTATTCTTCTCTATCTTCCATGGAACGTATATATAAGAAGTATCTTTTTATTTAGAAATCACATTTTTTTTGGAGTATAACCTCCTCTTCTGTATTTGAGAAGCAGGATTTTTTTTTTCCCCAGAATCATTACGTTATAAAAATTATGCAAAAGTTTTCAGCAGCTTGACAAGTTTTTGGAGTGATTACCATAATGACATCAATAATTCCTTTTACTCTCAAATGGTAGCTGCTGCACACAATGTTTATTGGATAAAAAAAAAACATTTATATGCATCTTGAATTATCTTTGAGAAGAAAGAGGAGTTGGAGGTAAATTCTATATTAGTAGGGCAAGTGTAGAATCTAATCATTATATTGGTTTGGAGTTACAGAAGGTCATCCACTCAGATTTTCCTTACAAGTCATTTGTCGAAGCTAGAGGGGAAAAAAATTACCATCGTTTTCCCTCCAAGATATAAATACAAGGGATTCCAGAAGAATATTAATTTGTCATCTACCATAAGTCAGGTTCCCTTCCTGGTACCATGAGACCCCAAATAAACATAAACTAACTCTGGATCGCAGCACACATATAGTAGGAGAAAGAGTTCAATAAATGAGAATGTGCACAAAATGAGGCAGGTTCTAGGAGATAAGTTTAACTCAAGAATAATGACAGAATCAAAGATGGTTTCAGAAAGGAAGCTTTGATCTGAGCTTCAGAAAGATGAGACAGACACTTACCAGCTAGGCAAAATGAGGAAGGAATTTTCTAGAAAGGGCAATGTTGTGACAAAATCCATAGAGGCTTGGCCCAGACTTCCAGAAAGAAGCAACTTTGATATCAAAATAGGCTGCATTTTTCTACTGAATTCCTGGCTTTTGCTATAATTATGATTAACTTTATCATCTTTTGAATAGCAGTGAGAACAAAAACAAAAAGGACTCTTTTCATAAAGTCCAGGTGTTATATTTTACTTTTAGAACTGTGCCATGTCCACTTTAGGGACAAAATGGCTATAATAAAGTGTGAGTAATGAGAAATAGTCCCAGGTCCTTGTTCCACAGGCCCAAGGGCACACTTCACACTGCATCCTGGAGTTACATGTTTTGGCAGACTCACCTGAAAGTGTCCTGTTTCCTGAGATAACACCTGCACACACATTCATGGACACAGACCTCAATTTCTAATAAATAGTTCAGACCTCTGCTACACCCACCTCAGGCACATCAAATAATTATTTGTTCCAATTCCAACTACATTGAGAAGCAGCTAAAATGCAGTTAATCACAGGGTACATTGTCTAATTAACAAAATACCACATCAAAACTGTCTTAATTCTTGGCCAATTCCAAATTTCCATCTGCCAATAAAGAAGTGAAGTGAAGTCTTGTATTTGGGGCTCTTGTGTACCACATCTTTCAGTTGCCCTTGTATTGGAAGGCGATACATACCAAGCAAAAATAATGGGGACCAGGCAAACCCCTGCAGCTGAAGACCTGCCTTCTCAAAGCTCTTGACACAGCATGGATGTATAGGAGCTGATGATAATACTTTTAACCCACTGGGGTTCATCAGTTAAGAAGGATTTTCAAAACAAGGATCTTGAAGAAATGATTTGAGTGAAACTGACATGTTGATATGAAAGCCAAGATTTCTCCGCTGGAATCTGAAAAAATAACACACATATTCTTTGCTTTACTCCACTATTCTCAAGTTTTTCCTTTGGATGCCTTTAGTTCTTTCATCTTTATAGAGCAATTTTTCATTCCACCTGTTGTTTCATTTGACTTCTGCAATAAAACTATTACATGTATTTTACACTGATCATCCACTTTTTAAGGGAAGAAGTTAAAGCTCCAAGAGGCTGTATACTCATCAATAAGTGGTAGCACTACAGTTCCAACCAAGACCTTTTGCTTTAATTCCAGACATTTTTCACTCTTCCCTATACTTTGCTATCCCAGCCTCTTGATGTTTGTATCTACTACATTCCAATCATCCCATGCTACTCATCCAATTAATATAGTCAACAACATTGACAAAACATTAACTATATGCTAATCCTTATTTCAAGAGCTTTATAAAACAATTTAATCTTCTGAACATCCTATGAAGATGCTATGTGTTTTTGCAAAAAGTAAAGTATCAGTAGTCCCTTATATAAAATGAGTAGCTTAGATTAGAACTGAGATTGAAAATATATTTCAATCAAGATTTCGGCTCTGGCCAATGGGTAGTAGCTGCCTGATGAGTTGTACTGAAAAGTATTCTGAGGCCACATTGAGTAATGCAGACAATGATCGGTTTGTGATACCTATCAAGAACATAGGATGTAGGAATAATGTGCTACACATTTGCCTCCGAAGCACATGAACTCCAATCCTCAAGTTCAATGGTTCTAAGAATCTAGTTTATTCTTAATAGCCATCATATGCTACCACTAAATGCTGAATTTTGAACATTAAATGAACTACCACTAGTCGTCTCTTCCCACCCCTCTCTCGTTTCCAAGGATTCATGAAGAAAAGCATTTTACTTTCCCCAATCCTGAAGACATATTAGGGTCTTATTCTGGATATATCTCACTGTGACTTGCTTCCAGTTTACAAACAAAATGTTTCATGGGGACTGCCACAAATCCTCTGCCAAGTCTCTGACAGCTGCAAACATCCACACACAGCTCTGTGCTGCTTGCCCACTTCCAGCCATGCAGTTGCCAAAACAAGACCAAGAAATAGTTTGTACCTTTTCACCAGCTGTTATTTCTTAAGTGCTAACTTCTTCAGAGGAAAAAATAGAAAACTAAGGATGACTATTTTATGCAGATGACACAGTAGAACTTTCAAATAAAAGAGCCGATTTTGCAGATGGAACCCCTTATGGCCCCTCAATGTGTCTGACCTGATTTCTGTCCCCTAGCCTTTGTTCCTTAGTAAGCTCTACCCTCCCCCCCACACACACATACAGGGAATTCTACATCTCTCACTCTTTTGCGACAGAGTGATACACTCAGCACAATCAAAACACGATATGGTTTAAAATCTTGACTCCACCTCATCCTAGTTAAGGAAATAGGCCTCATCGATGTCTCTGAGCCTCAGTTTCTTCATCTGTAAAATGGGGATCATCAGAGCACCAATTACCTAAGAAAAACTGTCAACAATTAGAAGCCAATGGATGTGAAAGCCCTCTAGCCCCACAAAGTGCCAGGGATATGAGTTTTCTTCATTACTTCCCTTCTTTGTTCATCTAATGTTTCATTACTCACAGGGCTTTTCATTCTTGAGTCTGAAAATGAAATTGACTTTACATTCAAACTACTATGTCATGCCAACCTCCACAGCTTCCCTGCAGGCCTCCTTGGTATTCCCAGGACCTGGTTGTATGGGGCTTTGAGAACTGGGAGGAACCTTGACATAAAGGAAACTGCCATTTCCACCTACCCATACCACTGTTCTGAGCAAGACCCAGCACCATTCATAGTTGCAGAATGAAACCAAAGAGTGATGGATAAACAAGAAACTATAAAACTCTTTAAAAATTGATCAAACTGGGCACAATGGCACACGCCTGTAATCCCAGCAGCTAGGGAGGCTGAGGCAGAAGGATTGTGAGTTCAAAGCCAGCCTCAGCAAAAGCAAGGCACTAAGCAACTCAGTGAGACCCTGTCTCTAAATAAAACACAAAATAGGGCTGGGGATGTGGCTCAGTGGTTGAGTGCCCCTGAGTTTAATCTCCAGTACCCCCCAAGAAAAATTAATTAAAGCTATGTTTTGCCCTGATTTTTTGAATCACAAATATACATACTGATATCAAATATCTTATTTAAGGCTTATTTAAGACAGTTTTAAATGTCCCATCAGAATGATTTGCAAAGCTACTGGAAAGAGATTCATATGGAAGCATGACATATTATGTTTATTTAGAGGAAACCATATTTCCCAAAGTGAAATGATCATATTGACAGAAACACAAAACAGAACCTATCTTTAGCCTCATTACTCATTCTGTTCCTCATAACTGAAATGAGAATGTGAATTCATTGACATCTTTCTTTACTTTAAGCACTTGAATGCACTCTGAGGATGCAGTGATAAATGAAACTCAGTATTTGCCTTTATGGAGTTCCCAGAATAATGGGAAGACTTGAATATTATTACCTGGTATTTGAAATTTATATTATCTGACAATCAGGATTCTCCTCTCATGTTATTTTATGAAGAACCCTCTATCTAGTTTTACATTACAATGTTATCCTACCACACTTCTATCCTGAAAGCTATGCATTTTCCCCCAATAATTTTTATACTTCTCTTCTGAATGCTTATGACATGTACATACCTCAGGCTTTAGATACCTAGAGCTTAGCAGTCAATGGCCTTTTTTTTTTAATTTTGGCCTAGACTAAATTTCAGTAGTTTAGTTTATTCAGAAGGATTCATTCTTTTCCTGAATTTAGAAAATTGTGAATCTGACTCATTGAGCACCAAACCCCTGCTCAGATATGGGAAAGTCCCCTGCAAATTTCTGAGATGGCCACACATAGCTGCCACTAAGGAGGAGGATTGGCCCACTCTCTGTACCATTAGGATGTAGTAGGGCCTAGCAGTTGCATCCTGAGAAGAAGCCCTCCTCGAGGTAAATGTCAGATATGGCTTAAGCCTGTAGCCATTCCTTACACTTGAAAAAGTAAGAGCCCACAAACCACACAGCCACCAAGTCTCCAGGGAAGACACCTGTACTCTACAACTTGACCCACCTGTTGTTTCACTTTACCAAAGCAGTTGCGATTATCAAAACCATCTTTGATATTACCTCACTTCATGAAATCAACCCACCTTTCCTTGGTGCTGGGCCTACTGAAGTAGAACTTGACATGGGCACACTGAGTATGTTTCAGGGGTGGTGAGCATATAAAGCAATGAGGTTAATAGCCCTTTGGCTTCAGAAAGTCTACATCATGTCCCATTCCTCTTCCACTACCTCTTCTAACAGACACAAAGTCATATCCAACAGTCCTAACCTATTTCCCCACCAAAGTTTAGTCAGTATAAGACCTAACACAAATAAAGGAGCAGACCCTTTAGGGTTTGCAACTGACTTGAGCTAAGCCCATGACCAATTTTTGACCAAATGGATAAAAATAGATGACTAAAACCTAATTATCAAAACCCAATATACTCTCCGCAGTTATTTGCTGACTTGAGACCCACACTGAATCAGCAGACTTACAGTGAACAAAAGTGTAGAGGACAACACTTTTATGCTATTGTCTTCCTTAGTTCTCTTTCTGAAGTTTCAGGGCATGATTTAGCAGCAATTGCAAACCAATATATAAGGCACTCCTCTCAATTTGTTGTTGGTGGTGGTAGTGGTGGCTGCTGCTGAGAATCCAACCCAGGGTCTCACACAAGCTAAGCACACACTCCACCACTGAACTTCACCTCCGGCCTCCTCTCAATTTTTAACTTTCTTTAATTGGCCCATAACATTCTCCTGATGACTTAATATTAAGGAAAAAAAATCTTTAGTATCCTGTAATTTTCTAATGAAATTTTACATCATAACTGAAATAAACAGACATTTGCTTTTAAACAATGTTCAAAAATATAAGATGTAATAAAAGAAAAATTTAGAAGAGGTAGCAATGAACTGATGGATAGACCCTTTCCTTGAACTAAATGGATTTAATTTAGGTGCTCACACTTGGTGTAGTGGCATGGCACTCCATTAGAAACATAAGACAGAGAGCAGTCTCACAGATCCTTACCCTGTTGCTGAGAACCACAGCCAGTTTTTACGTAGAGTTATGACTGTGAGATAACCTAACACTAAGACAGTGCTAAAGAATTCTATGAGGATGAAGGAAATTTTTGAATGGTTCAGGGAGAGAGAGCAAGGAAAATTAACCCTGAACTGTGTCTGCTTCCTATGTTTGGGATTTTAGCTCTGGTGAATTACTGGTTGTTAGTCGACTGTAATTTTCCTCTCTTTTCTTCTCAGGAGGGCAAGAAGACCTCATTCTTTCCTATGAGCCTGTCACAAGGCAGGAAAGTAAGTTTCCCAGCATTCTCGGGTTCCTGATTTCCAGGCCACAACAGGTGACACAACTGAAGGAGGGAAACAGTGACGGCTAAGGAAAATACACTCGGCTTAAAACTCAGTTGCCCCTCAACTACACCCTACTGTCTTTCTTTGGCCCTGTCACCATACAACAACTTCCCTGTGAAACATGACCAATACCAGCTCTCACGAGGATGGAGCAGCCCTTCAAATCAGTGGCCCTTAGTGGGAAGGAGCACATCCAAGTGTCTGGCTAGAGAGCTCTAGCCAGAGACCTGAAGGCTAAATCCTCCCAGGAAGCTTGTGTGAGCCCAGTACTAAGAACATTCTAGCAGACCTAAGATAGAGCTATCTGAAGGCTGCCCAGGGAAACTGACTTAATTTTTCTGGAGGCCATTTATACAGAGGCTGATGGCTATTGACAAGGATGTTGCAGAGAAAATTCAAGCATCAGATGGGCAGAGTTGCCAGATGAACTTTAGAGATCCTTTGAATCCCAGATACAAAGGAATTAGGAAAACCCCAGCAGAGCACAGAGTATTTTGAGCTGAGAGAAAGAAATTATAAAAACATAAAGTGTCATTACTACTAACAATTGCTTTTAAACAATGGCCAAACAGCTGGTTTGAATTCTTTCTTTCTCCCACTCAACTGACTAAACCCGAGTGTTTTGACATTGTGTAGGCATAAATGAAGAATAAGCAAAACTCTTCCAAATGCTTTTCTTTTTTTTTTTTTTTTACATTTTTCTAGTTGAAGATGGTCACAATACGTTTATTTTATTTATTTTTATGTGGTGCTGAGGATTGAACCCAGCGACTCACACCTGCGAGGCAAGTGCTCCAACACTGAGCCACAACCCCAGCCCCCATTGACAGTCCCTTCAGTTGCTTTTTGGGGGGGTGGGGGGTAAGTCCCAGACAGTAGGCACAGTCAACATCCTGAGGAGTAAACATTCATTTCCCTATGTTGGGTGATTGATCCAACGTTATTCCTTTGGCAGTTCTTACTGTTTGGCAGTTTCACTTTAAGAATCACCCTTGCAGGACAATTTTTCAAATGATCTCCAAGTCAGTCTGCATATCTGCATCTTCTTTTTCCTATCTGCAGTAAACTATACCCGGCCAGTGATTATCCTGGGCCCCATGAAGGATCGAATCAATGACGACTTGATATCTGAATTTCCTGATAAATTTGGCTCCTGTGTGCCTCGTAAGTATCATTTCTCTTTTTTACAGGAAAAAGCTTGGATTCTTTATGATAAAATAATATTATTCTTCCGGTAGTTTCTGGTTTTCCAAATACCACCAGTTACCCATTATCTGAGCACTGTCTTTCAATTCTCTGCCTAACACTTTGCATCTATGCTGCTATGTGCTGTTCTCTATTTGGTAAGTATGATAATGTTCTCTCCAAACTGACTGTAGTCCCATAGAAGGTAGGCAGGAACTCTGTAAACCCCTAGCACTTAAAACAGCATAGAATTTATGATAGGCCACAGTATGTTCTTACAGACTGATTAAAGTGCCACTATAACATCTTATTCCATAGAATGAGGGAGGTCAGAATCAGTCATATATTAAAATCTTCTCAGGATGACTTAGGACAATTTGTTAATCCCGAAATCAAATAGCCTTTCCATGAGTTTTGACAGTACAGGTCTTAGGAGAATGAAAATAAGATGTCTGAGACTTTATTCTACCCTAAAAACCTCTGAAGACTTTAATCTGCTGTATTATAATTGATAAACATTGGGTCTCCTAGCCTCTCTGTAGCTCTGTAAGCTTCTGTCTGCTTATAACTTTTCCCCCTACCATCACACTTCGCCACCCACCCCCGTGCACAGAGACCTTCTGTGCAGACAAGTTCACTAGCAAAATTGAGCTTACTCCATAAGGAAACTCATAAATCTGATCCCAACAAATACTTCTCCCTCATTCTTCAAGTGTCTCTAACATTTCAATAGTGCAAATTTCCCTTACAGTACTAAAGAATAGCAGGACTCAGGTGTATTACGTGGGCAAAAGAGAGCTAGGATGATTGCTGCATCTCCTGTGCCAGTTCCCAGAGAAGTTCCCAGCCTTGGGAAGAGTTCGTGCCACAGAACATATCCCAATAAAGTCTTCAGATGGAAAAGATGAAATAAAACCCTCCGTTAATTACAGCAGCTTCCAGTTGGATCTTCCACTTTTTATTTATTTATTTACTCTAATTAGGTATATGTGACAGAATGCATTTTGATTCATTGATCTTCCACTTTTTGAGAGAAATAAAACAAAGTTCTTAAGCATTACATCCACTTCCCCTTCATCTCACACATGCTACTTTTTTCATTAATAGCACTATTTCATGATGAGCGGTGCATGTTCATTGTACAAAACTTGAAAAATGAAAAAAAGAAACTTAAACAAGAAAGTAAAAAGTACACAGAATGCCCCATAACATCCAGAAATAACATCACGTATATATTATTTCTTCCATTATATTCGTTTTTTCATATGATAGATAGGTTTTTGACATTATTTAAAATTTTATGCAACTATTTTAATGATTAGTATGTCATAATTAATCATTCTTCATTTATGGATACTTTGGGTTTTCTCTATTTTTCATCACTGAATTTATAATTGAACTATAAAACCATTATTTACAAATTAATAAAATTAATATCTTTAGGGTTAAAACTGTATCTGAAGTTTCAATCACTTTTAACATAGATTCTTAGAAAATAACTGAGTAAAACTTTAGATATTTTTAGATATATTTTAACTTTTTTAAGTCATATTGCTAGATATTTTTCCCCTCTTTCTAAAACATGTAAGTGCAATGGTTAGACTTGCTGACTTTTCGTCCCACCTGTACTGTGATTCTCTTATTACACATATTTTTTAAATCCCTGAAGACATTATAACTGTATGACAATGTTTTTCTCCTAGTTACATGACTTTATTTCTTTGCTTATCTCATAATTTTTATTTTGTGTCAGGCACTACAGTGGTGTATTGCTGGAAATCACATTTTGTTATCTTCCTTCATGTAATATATTTGTTCTGGAAAGCAACTGCCAAAACAGTTTGTTCCAGCTGCAACTTGGCTTTAGACTTTGTAAAGATGGGTCTAGAGTAAGTCTAGAGTAGCATTCCAGAATGTGGCCTTTCTGGGGTTTCAATCAAATGCCCAATTCTGGCTGAACTCCAGTGTTTCCTAACATTGTGTGACCTCTATACTTTCCAAGTGGAAAGGACTCCTAGGTAGAGAGGTGTAGTGAATGTACAGTTTCCCTCATATATTGTTATTCTCTCACAATTACAGTTCTTCACTGTTAATTGGTGCCTGAAAACAGTTGTTCCATGTTAAGTTTTATAATTTTTTGTGGTAGGAGATTAAGACTGGTACCTGTTACCATGTCATGGTTCATCATATTACATATGTTTATGTATCTATTTGAGGGCATGGTAGAGAAAAATAGGTGGTGAAAAGGAAGCTTATAAAAATAAATGTGTCTTAATTTTTTTATTTCTTATTTTGTAAAGATACTACAAGGCCGAAGCGTGACTATGAAGTGGATGGGAGAGACTATCACTTTGTCATTTCCAGAGAACAAATGGAGAAAGATATTCAAGAGCACAAATTTATAGAAGCTGGCCAGTACAATGACAATTTATATGGAACCAGTGTGCAGTCTGTGAGATTTGTAGCAGAAAGGGTATGTTTGCCAATCTCCTTATAACTCTCCACAGGAGTATATCTAGGTGGCAAACTGTGTCTTTTTTTTTTTAATCATTACTCTTTCCTGATTGCAGTTGAAAAACTTTGATTAAATATTCCTTTTAAGGTTTCCAAGGAGAGAATCACCTTAGAGCAATGTCATTAATCTATATTCTAATCTCAATAAAGTATTCTAACTACACGGAAAGGGGAGAGAACAGAGGATCTATAAAGCTAGTTAACAGCCATAAGTTTATGGGGCCTCAGTCTATTCTTGACTCTCTGAGACCCTAATAAATAAAACCTTTAAGGATAATAAATAAAACCTTTGTTACTTTTGGTTACTTAGTTGTGTTCAAAGGATTTACTTCTCTATTTCTCCTTTTCTCCCTCTCCCCCCCTCCTGCCAATCTCAAAACTTGCTATCTTCATGTTGGAGGGGAGATATATCAGAAAAGTTTCAATTTAGAGAAAGTATCAATGCTGTCATTCCCTTCTTCCTGACCATTTCAGAGCAGGGAAAATAGGAGAATGTTTAAGAGAGAAGAGGATAGGAAGATACTTGAATGGGGCTTTAGAATGGGCCCATACAGAGATGCCATCTCCTATAAACACAAAGAAGCAAAGTCAGAAAATATTTGTCAGGTTGGTTGGAAATTTGATGTGATGCTTTCCGCCCTTTTGATGTACTCATAAAAAGTCAAACAAATTTCTCTAAGATGAAAAGAAGGCTAAATAGAGGTGGCCAGCTTTGTCTTCTTTCTCCACAAAGAACAATTAAAGTAACAGATATACGCTGCATTTCAAGGTGAGCAAAGGGAGGAGAATACTGGAAATCAGCAAGAGAGAGATTGGAACCTTATAAGATTCAGAGACCTGGGACAACAGCATAAAAAGAAAATTACAACACTCTGGCAACTGCAACCCCCAGTTCCATAGCCAGGGTACACACAGTCCCTGGCTCCAACTTGGTCCAGCAGCTCTGACGCAAGCTCACTGGGTCCTGCACTGTAGGATATATAGGTGTTGTAACATGGAGGGGAATGGAGGGTGCCACCCTCAACAGTCAGGAGATCAGGAGGCCTGTTCTCTGAGACCATGTGCACATCCATCTTTGTGTGGTTTTGTGCCAGTTCCAGGACTGAAAGCCGATTCCCAAATGGTTTCTTCCATCCCTGCCCTCTGTGCAGCATTTAGGCAATTGTTTCTGACAGTGAGAAGGGAACACCATGATTCCCACTGCTACCTTGCCCACAGGGACATGTTGAAGGGTCCTTGAGTGACTCTACTACATCAGCTATCTCCTTACCCTTGAACATGCAAGGTGGGGAGGGTCAAGAGCAACTTCACCTAGCTACATTCATGTCCCACTCCCACTTGTTCCTGGGCAGGCACTACAGCTGAAGGAGTTCAGGATGTAGAAAAGACCCAGCTACTGTCCCACCCATAGGCATGCATGGCCAAGTTCCCAGAGGAACTTCGTCCAGCTCTGGTTGAGTTCCCACTCCCCAGGCAGCACAGTCACTGAAGCACAAGAACACCAGGGTTCCTGCTGCCATAACACATACACCATTTCCAGTGCTGCCTGCTACTGCATCTGGTTTGACCACACAGTGCTGTCCAGACTGGCTGAGTGCCACAGAGCAGGTGCTGCAGTTCTCACCAATGCCTCTCCCCAGTTCTCACACCACTGAGTAATTGTAAGAAAAACGTACTGAGCCTTTTACCATGCTGGGGCCACCAGTGCCAAGGGCTCTTGCTAGTAACAGAGTTAACATTAAAAATACTTGAGGAAACTCTTGTGGCATGATGGGAGCCACCTCTGCCGTCACAGGAGCAGGCACACAGTGAACACCCCACACCCACTGCTGTCTGCACTACAATTGCCTGAACCACTAGAGTATCTTCATTCTTATGTGGCCTGCAGAAATAAGGAGTCTCTCTGACTCCTCCAAGGTACACATTGTGACGAAGTCATTATTTACAGCCAAAGAAGCTATAGGGGGAGTCACTATGCTACCCAGCTAGAATTAAAGACAACATTGCCTAACAAACCAACACCCCATGATCCAGCTTCAGGAAAAAGCTGCTAAGTAGGTCACCCCATAAAATTAGTAGAGAAATTTGATACAATAGATGCACAAATCTCACCATAAAAAAAAACAAATATAAAAGCACAAGGTAATATGACACCTCCAAAAGAACATAATAATTTTCTAGCACCAGATAGCAAAGAAATCAAAATGAGTGGAATGCCTCATAAAGAATTTTAAAGAGTGTCTACAAAATGTTCAATGAGATCAAAGAGAATAGAGACAAACCATTAAATGAAATTAGGAAGACAACGCAGGATATAAATGAGATATGCAGTAAAGAGACATTCTGAAAAATAACTAAATAGAAATCTGGGAAATTAAGAGCTCAACAAATCAAATAAAAAATACAATTGAAAGCCTCAAAACCAGACTAGATCAAGCAGAAGAAAGAATATCTAAATTTGAAGACAGGTTCCAGTCAGAAAAAAAAAATTAAAAAGAAGAAGAGTATTACAGACCTGCAAGCCTCATTAAATGTACAAATATCTAATTTGGGGGGTTACTCAAAAGTGAAGGTCATTTTTTGGATTACTCAAAGGTGAAGGTCATAGGGAAAAAAAGCTAAGATAATAGAAAACCTATTCAATAAAATAATAACAGAAAACTTCCCTAATTTGGGGAAAGATATGAACACTCATATATAGGAGACTTATGGGACCCCCAAACAGACATGACCAGAAAGTATATTTACCACAGCATATTATGATTATATTATCAAGGGTACAAGACAAAGAAAAATTCTAAAATCTGCAAGACAAAGCATAAAGTTATATTTAAGTTGTATTATACTAACTGTAGATTCCTCTTAGAAACTCTGTAGTCCAAGAAGGAATGGAATGACATATTCTAAGTCCTTAAAGAAAATAACTGCCAACCCACTATATCTACTAAGGCTATCCTTCAGAAATGAAGAAGAAATAGATACCTACTAAGACAAGCAAAAACTGAGGAAATTCATGATGATCAAATTAACTTTACAAAAGATAAGAGAGTCCTACATCCACAAGTGAAAGAAAGATAACTACCACCATGAAAGCATCTAAAAGTATAAATCCCACTAGAAGAGTTGAAACACAAAAGAGAAGTGAAAAAGAACCCAACACTATCAATAGAATAAACCATCAGACCACAAAGATGAACAAGAGAGGAAGAAAGAATAGAGACTATTCAAAACAACTAGAAGAAATTTTTTAAAAAATGATAGGAATAAGTCCTTACCTACCAATGATAACCTTAAATGCAACAAACTAAACTCTCCAATTAAAAGTACAGATTGGTTGAATGAATGTAAAAAAAAGAAAAAAAAATGTTGGCTATAAGAAACTGACTTCACAAGTAATGACACACACAAACTGAAAATGGAAGGATAGAAAATAGTACTCCAAGCAATGAAAATCTAAAATGAGCAGGAATAGTTACGCATATTTCCAGCAAAATAGACTTAAAGAAAAAACTGAGATAAAGAAGGCCACTTCATAATGATCAAGAGATAAATTTATGAAGAAATTATGATTATAAATCTATATGCATCTAATTTCGGAGAACCCAACATTATAAGACAAACACTATTAAACCTAAATGAAGAGATAGGATTAAAACAATAATATTGAGGGATTCCAACACCCTTCTATTTCCAATGTACATCCAGACAAAACATCAAAGAAACAGACTTAAATTACACCATAAATCAAAAAGACAAAACATAATTTAAAGAAAATTTCTATTCAACAATGTGGAATAGACATTCTTTTTATCAGCCCATTGAAACTTCTCTAGAATCCACCATATATGACACAAAACAAGTCTTAACAGATTCAAGAAAATTTAAATCATACCCTGTATCTTTTCTGATTATAATGGAATAAGACTGGAAATCATCAACAAAAGAAATTTTAGAAATTACATAAATATATAGAAACTGAACAACACAGATTTGAACAGTGAGTCATTGAGAAAGGAAGAAAGGAATTTTTTTTAATTACTCAAAACAAGTGAAAATGGAAATACAGCATTCCAAAAACTTGTGGGATGCAACAAAAGTAGTACTAAGTAGGAAGTTCCTAGCAATGAATATTTACATTTTAAAAATATAAACTAAAATTTCAAGTAAGCAACCTAATGCTATATCTCTTAGATATAGGACTTAGAAGAGCAAGAATAAACAAAATCCAAAATTAATAGAAAGAAATAAAAAAGATGAGCGGGGAAATAAATGACACAGAGACTATAAAAAATACAAAAGTTCAATAAAATAGAATTGGTTTTTTGAAAATATAAATAACATTTACAAAATGTTAGCTGAATTAACCTAGGAAAAAAAGAGAGAAGGGCCAAATAAATAAAAGCAGAAATGGAAAAAAAAACATTACAACCAATACCAGAGAAATACAGAAGATCATTAAGGATTATTATGAAAAACCATATGCTAACAAATTAAAAACCCCAGAAGATATGGATAAATTTCTGGACATACATGGTATATCAAAATTGAACCATGAGCATATAAAATCCTGAATAAATCCAGTAATTATATAGAATTGGTTTAAAGGAAAGCCTTCTCTTATACAAAGGAAAGCCAGGACTTCAGGGGCTTCACTGTTGAATTTTACCAAAATTTAAATAACAAATGCCAATTCTTCTTAATCTATTCCACAGTCTTGAGAGTGAAACTTTCCACACTCAGATGAGGTCAGAATTACCCTGTTGCAAAAAAAAAAAAAAATAGACAAGAATACAAAAGAAAAAGAAAATTACAATATCCCTGATGAATCATAGTTGCAAAAATTCTCAACAACAACCAAAAAAAAACTAGCAAATCAAGTTGAATATGTGGGTGTATGCCGATATTCTCAGTAACTTGGAAGGCTGAGGCAGGAACAGCCTCTTCAATAAATGGTGCTTGGAAAACTGGATATCCATGTGCAGAATACTGAAACTGTCACCATATACAAAAACAAACTCAAGATAGATAAAGGCTTAAATCTAAGATCTGAAACTTAAACCACTAAAAGTAAGCACTTCAAGACACTGGTACAGGCAATGATTTTCGGGATAGGCCCTCAAAAGCACAGGAAACCAAAACAAAAATTGACAAATAGAATTAAATCAAACTAAAGCCTACTGCACAGCAAAGGAAACAATTAAGAGTGAACAGATGGAGCTGGGGATGTAGCTCAGTTGGTAGAGTGCTTGCCTCACATGAACAAGGTCCTAGGTTCAATCCCCAACATCACAAAAAAAAAAAAGTGAAGGGATAACCCCCAGAATGGGAGAAAATATCTACCAACTATTCAATGTGACCAGGGTTAATATTCGAAATATGTAAAAAAAACTAAAACAAAATGCTCTGATTTGTTTTAAAAAATGGGTTTTATGCGTTGGATCTACAAAGTCCCACAAAGGCCCATGTGTTATGGGGTTTGCAGTAATGTTAAATAGAAGTAGGGCTTTGGGGAAGTAATTAGATCATACAGGCTCTCATAGGCTCTCTTCAGTATTTTAATCCACTGACAGTCTCATAATTTGATGGCATTATTGAGAGGTGGTACAAACTGTAGGAGGTGGGACCTAGTTGGTAGACATAGGTCACTGGGTATATGCCCTGGAAAGGTATATTTGGTCCTGACCCCTTCCCTTGCTTACTTTCTGCTTCGCAGGCACCAAGATATAAGCAGGTTTGGCTATCATCAAAGAATAAAATGTAACAAATACTGCTAAGAACATGGAGAAAAAGGAACACTAATACATTAAGTTTTTTGAGGAACCTCCATACTGTTGAGGCAGTAGCCCACTTCTGGTATATATCCAAAGAAAATGAAATCTGCATGGCCATGTTTATAGGGGAACCTATTCACAATAACTAAAATTCAGAATGAACATAGGTGCCCATCAACAGTTGAACAACAATATGAAGTATTATTAAGCCATAAGGAAGAATGATCTCCTGTCATTTGCAGCAAAATAGATAGATCAAGAGGAAAGAGGACAGATACCAAAAGACAAGTACTTCATGTTCTCTCTCTCTCATGTGGAAGCTAAAAATAAGTTAACCTGAAAGTAAGATACTGATTACTAGGTACAAAGAAGGACATGGGGTCGGTGGAGGGTGGGTAATGGTAGTTTGATTTATTTGATCAGTGCACTATGTAGGCATGTATGGAAATATCACACTGAATTTCTTTAATATGTTTAATTAATTTATGTTAATAAAAGGGAAGTATATGAAAAAGATGAGTCTATTTTCCTCTCTCTGAAAAGGCTAGGTTCTCTCAGCATTATATGGATACTGGTTCTCATCAGTGTCTAGAAAATTACAACTGTTTTCCTCTTTGAACATGTAGATACCACCTTTAACTTAAAATGTGCTGTTCAGTGAGTAATCAAACAGCATTTACACCTTTTATATTACTGTTGCACTTCACAAATAGCAAAATTGGAATTTATTGCTTACGTAATAAAGTCCAGTGAATACCTGAACTCTGTTTATTTTCACACGGATATTGTAAATTGTTTTTATATCCTATTATTGATCTAGGACTGTCCCAATTTTTATAACATGATTTTTTTTCTCTGCTTGTATAAAGTTCTTCTAGCCTTGGGGTAACAAGGCCATTTCTTCCTAGGAGGTAGAATATTAAATGGCAAATTTACATCTACTTTTCCAGAAATACTTTATAAAGCAGTTCCCTGCTCAGCATACTCATTACAGTGAAATCCATGTTAAATGAGGTGTGCTATAATGTCATCAGGTCTTTGTTAACAAACTAGAAATTTTTATACCCTCTGAAAGATTCTCTTTTATCATTTAACCATATAACATTTAAGGTAACTTTTTTGTCGGTTCTCTCTAAACTGAACATATTAAGGACTGGATACATGTAAGCATTCAGCAAATGTTTAGGGAATTGTTCTAAATTCAAGTGATTACCATTCCTCCAAATTTAACATTGGTCAGGGTAGGACAATGAAGTGTCTATTCCAATCAATGATTCTATCAGTACTTAAGGCTTGAGTTTGAGTCCTCCTAAAACTGAACTTTTTGGCAAGTTGAAAGTTCTGTCTTCATCTTCTCTTCCATAAAATACAGTTGCTATCTCATAGATGAGGATTTCTTGATAATTTTTTTCAGGGATGTTTATAAGCTTCATGGGAATGGACTTAATTACCTAACATATGACTTCAAATCTTCTTTGTGCAGTGCATTCTGTATTTGTGGAAGAAAATAAAGTTCACTGAGAATACATGTAAAATTCTAGTTCAGTGGTGGACACTTAGTAAAGGGGCTAATGAATATTAATTATTACAAGCATTCAGTGGTTACCCTATATATCAACTTTCATTTACTCTTTCTAGCAATCTTTTTTCTTTTTTGTACCTATTGCATCCCATACCCTCTTCTAAAACACACATGCACTATTTTCATTTTGTTGGATTATGACCACTTTTTCGGAATTCACTCCTTATTTTTCTTCTTTCTACCAGGGAAAACACTGTATCCTTGACGTATCAGGAAATGCTATCAAGCGATTACAAGTTGCTCAGCTCTATCCTATTGCCATCTTCATAAAGCCCAAGTCTCTGGAACCTCTAATGTAAGTAGAGGGCTCTGGAATACCTCATGCAACTAACTCCCTGTTCTGTTTTGCACAACAAACTGTTAATACCTCTTTTTCACAAATAATTACAAATGGGAAATGCCATTTTGCTATTTTTAAGGATTTTGTTCTGTTAGTTTTCAAAATGATAGGAGAGGATCATCTTTGAGCTGCCTCTTACTTCTGAGTGCAGATTCATAGGTAAATCTTTTTAAATGTCTGCATTTTTTGTAGAGGGAGCAGGCAACATTTAGACTTTTTCCATTGATATTTTACATTGTCTTATAAAAGAATTCTGATGTTAGAAACTTCATATGCATAGACAAGTTTCCTTAGTGACATGACAGTAAAAGGTCTATAACTTAACCAGTAGCTCTATAGCACATTTATGAGCCAGGGGATAATGTATGACTCAAATTTTTTCCAAAATGCTTATAAAATTCTTTCCTTCAAAAACCATTAATCAGATTGGGCAATATTTATGCTGTAACTCTAAAATCACCATAAGCAACTCCCATACAGAAGTGAAGCTTTTTGGAGGTAATGATATCAGAGCAAAGAGAACACAGCAGAGCCTTGAACGCTGGTCAGGCTGAACTTGGTTCTTTGCTTTGTCAGTGGTCAGTTATATAACCTTGAGCAAATTACTGTATCTCCCTAAGATTTAATCTTCATCTTTAAACTAGACTTTAATAAATACCTGATAGGACTAGTGTAAAGGTTAAGCCACAAGGTCATGAATTTAAAACTCTGTGTACAGTCTTTGGTACATACTAAGTGTGCAATAAATTTACTAGTTATTATTATCAAAGATAGAAAGTTGCTGTATTATGAAAGATTAATGTAATTATATCATAAAGTGTATAAAGTACTTTTGAAAGAATGCAAGAGATAATTCCGGTTTGTCTGTTATAAGATCCTTTGCTCAAATACTGCTTCTATTTGGGCCTCCCGAGGGTGTTGAACCACAGGGTATATACTTGAAAACAATGTTCATGGAAAAATTGAAGGCACGGAAATTCTTTAATCCCAAAGGTGAAAGCAGTTATTTGCCAATGATATCAGCTAACGGTTCTGGTCTTCTCTGAGGATGAAGAGGCAAAGCACATTGCAGTAGCTAAAATGGCAGCCTGAGAAAATTAAGTTAAATATATACTTGGCCTCTGGAGAAATTGCCAGGAATGCATCTGAAAAGCAGAATATAGACACATGAATAAAAGATAGACAAAGGGTTTTTACCAGGATTCGGAAATGAAATTGTGAGGTCATTGTCAGCCCCTTGAATTTAGGTATTAAATTATGCTGAAGAACTTTAACTATTGTTGGTACTTGGAAAGGTATGTATTAAAGATTGAATAGTGGTTCTTAATATTATTTCCCTAATAACATGTGTCAAATTTCCCCTTTAGCAGGATACTGTGTTGGGCATTGCAGAGTTAAGCAACCACAGATTTCATAATCTGTAAAGAGCATCACAAATATTTTAAATAACACTAAAGTTAATAAGAAGAGTAGAAAAATGGCCCTCATCTCTTGAGAAAAACAACTTAAAGTTCTATTTCAGAAAAGAAAAATAAGTCTTCTCATAAACACACAATGAGATAAATGGCTTCCTAGGGAAGGAGGCCTGAGGGAGCAACAGCAGTGGCTGGCACATTGGGTTCAGCACGATGCTGGGAGTGAGTCCCATCTGGTGCTTGGTAGAAGGTCCACTTCCTTCCACAACTATCAGATGACTTATTTAGTTTTGCCTTAGGGCACTGTCACAGCCACTTATCACCAGGGAAAATTAAACATACTGAGGGCTAGATTCCACAATGAAGACAGTGAATCTGACATAATGTGCTGCAGCCATATTCATAGGAATGAGTGCAGTGGTGACGCTGGTCAGACCAATGTGATCTCATTACTCAATGCTGAATGTTTACGGTTCACTCTTTTCTGAGGCTTTTACTTCAGGAGCAAAGCTAGCATGAATTGCCCATTGCCCAGAAAGGAGTGAGTGCCAGGTCAGCCAGAACAAAAACATGGCAGCTGTCACATTTAGGCATTGATACATCATCACACACATTATTTCTCAAGTGCATCATCCGCATCAAACCACAGAACTTATTAGCACATACATAGCTGACTTCAGCAGAGATAAAATCAAGGGCATGTATGAAAGAGATGTTCTTTTTATATCATGCTGCCATAACTTGTGCCCCTACCACAAAGCAATGAGATGCTTTTCCAGGTCTTATCACCCTGCCACTTCCAATCTCCTATTCCTGTCTTGCCCCCATGATGTATTATGTTTATTTCTGCCTGTATCTATGTCAAAATTATGTTTATCTGTCTAGGTCTCCATTTATTCATTCATTCACTTATCCATTCAACAAATAAGTATTGAATCAGGGCTGATTCCACATGCTAACAAACAAAGAACTTGCAGCTTAGACAAAGAGACAAAATTAATTCATATATTAGAGGATAGCAATCTAAATTAAGTTAAGTTCAAATCAGATTCAGAAAGAGAAAAAAAAAAAAAAACAGACTACCACAGACCAAGCAAGTTAAAGAAGACCCAGAGCTACATGACTTGTTTACTTCTGGAAAAATCACCTTCTTTCTCTTAAAGAATATCCCTTGGTTTAGCCCAACATCTTCTGCACTTAAGAGTGATATCCAGCTTCTGGAGCTCAGACATTTTGGAACAAAATAAGTTTACTTTAGCAACAAGAATTCAGGAAATTTCTGCTTTACATTTCAGCCTTCAGATATGTCTAAAACCATATTAATATCTAACTTCAGGTTTTTTTAAATTTTACACATCTGCCTCTTTTGAAAGCATCAAGTCTGTTTGAGATGTAAAGTCTGTTTGACTATAGTTTAAAAAAAATAAAGCTTGAGTTCTTACTGCAAATTATTCTTTAATAAATGTACAATCTTGGGGGAGTGCCAGGACTGCTTCAAGTCTTCTTAGCTTGTACTACAGAAAGGATTCACTAAGACCAGGAGTTCTAGACCTGGCTCTCTGTCTTCTTAAGTTGCGTGCAAGGCAGTGATGCTTTCAAAAATTCTACATGCATCTGGGGTGCATTCTGATAAACCAACCGAAAAAGGCTTTGCATTTGACTAGACTTTTTTAATGCCTAGAGGACATTCTAAGAAAAGCTACCACTGATTAGGAATCAGCGAATTGATTTTAGAGAAAAGTAGAGAATCTCCCACTTCTAACCTTGACTTGTCCTTGAGACTATATTACGTTTAATAGTCTTACAATTATTAAGCAACATTTGCGTACAGTTAATGATAAGTCAGTTGTTGGCAAACAGAAAGAAAAAGATAGGTAATCCTAGGCATAATTCCTTTGTAGCCCATTCTGCCAGAACGAAAATAAAGTAGGCCTCAAAGTTTCTTCTCATTATTTTGTTTGTAAAATATTTTAACTGGCACATAGTAATTGTACATATTTATGGTGCAATATTTCAACACATGAAGACGATGTGCAATGATCAGATTAGGGTAATAGGCATATCTATCACCACACATATCATTTCTTTGTGTTAATGTGAAACATTTAAAATCCTCTCTGCTATTTTGAAATAGTCAATTAATTGTTGTCAACCATATTTATCCTACTGTGCTACAGAACACTAGAAGTTATTCCTTATATCCAACTGTACCTTGTACCCATTAATCATACTACAGATTCTATTATACCAAGTTCCTCTATCCTATCCTCTACTTGACTAAATTACTTGATTATAATCTATTTGAAAATATTTTGGTCCCAGGACTTTTGACTTGTTCCCTTCTGTGTCCATTTCAATTCATAAAAACAGGACATTCAGGGCTCTTATTGCTATAGACATAACTTGACATTTTCAGAAATTGAGTAGTGAGAGCTGCAGACACCCTTTTGCCCTTCGAGATACAGATACCTATGGGGTCTTCCCTATTTTCTAGAATTCTTTGGAAGTACCATGTTTCTCACTCCTCATTTTTGAATGAACAGCAGCCCTTAAGGGGGATGCACAGGCAAGAAATCAAAGCCTTTTGGACGGTCAGGACCCAAGAACAATCAAATTGATTTCTCTCAGAGGTGAGGAGGGCCAGAGGCAAAAACACATTTTTCTGCCCTCCACCTCTCCCAACTCTGACCACCCCTGAAAAAGTTCCTTTCATTCTATGTCCCACATTTTAGAAAGACTGAGGTATACTGGAGCGAAGGCCAACAAAGTGTGACCAGGGAAGTTTGGATTTAGAAATCATATCCAATGAGGGTTTAGATGAAGTAGGACAGTATACCCTGAAGATGAGGAAGCCTCAAGAGTCCAATGAGCACTTTATTTAAATCCTCTAAAACCTGACAAGGAGAAAATTTAACCCCACCCTAGAGGACTTCAGGATACAGAAGAGCAACCAATGACCGCAAAGCCCCAAGACTCAGATTCCACTTCAGTCTTTTTTTTTTTAATTGGTTGTTCAAAACATTACAAAGCTCTTGACATATCATATTTCATACATTTGATTCAAGTGGGTTATGAACTCCCATTTTTACCCCATATACAGATTGCAGAATCACATACTTCAGTCTTTTTCGGGGCCAAAAGACTTCCCTCCAGAGAGTGGGCTCCTTGGCCCAGAGCCCTTGTGGCTGAAATGAGTCCAGCAAAGAGGAGTCCCAGAGGAAGTGTAGGAAGCTACTGCTAAGGTTGAACTATGCTTTCTGTAGGCTTCTTTCTTGCCATACATTTTGATTTTTGGAAACTTGGTTTATTCTCTTTGTGTCCTAATTTCAAACCCTCATTTACCAGGGAGATGAATAAACGTCTGACAGAGGAGCAAGCCAAGAAAACCTATGATCGAGCAATTAAGCTAGAACAAGAATTTGGAGAATATTTTACAGGTAAGTTCCCCTCATCCTGGTACTATGAGGAAGGAGATAAATTGTCTGACATTTTTCATAGAGAGTGTCCCAGGTCTGGTGAACCTGGGCCCTAAAACCATCCTGTTGAGCATCTCTAATAACTAATTTATACATAGAAAGGCACTCTCTGCTTCACCCATTTGATTCAGGATTCTGGGTTCTCCCTCCTCTGAGATCACCAGCAGCCAGCTCCCAGCTTCCCCCTGACCCTAACCAAAACCTTGAGTGGCAGATGTCCCTGAACTATCTCCTCCTATTAAGGAGACTTGAGGCATTGATACCTCATTAAACTATCTTCCTAATGGCATCTGAAATTTGGGGGGAAAACTCTTGGGACAAAACTGGGCAGGGGCCAAACTGGGCAGTGTCCAAAGCAGCCACTCTTGAGAAACAGTCTCAGAGTCCTTCATTCTCTGCCCTCATGACCTGTGGCTCTGTCTCCCCATCTGCAGCACTTGAACAACACGCTCAAAAACCCTTCCCTGTGTTTTAGCTAATTCTGTGTCAAGTCTCAGTGCAAAACTTTTTTTCTTCTTCTTAATTATTTCTTTGGAAACATGAAGTTTGGGAATAGAGGAAGAATTTCTTCTGGATATCCTTAGTTCTCTATTCTTATGTACTTTCATGAAACACTGATTAAACCCAGACAGTAATCAAACTGCAATTGGCCTAACAAGTAATTCTCAGCGGTTTAAAAACAAGAATTTTCCTCCTCAATTACATGGTATGGGATTAGATGTTTTATTTATTTTTTTTGTCTTATTCAGAATGTGGAAAGTGCCAGTGGCATAGCAGTTTGCAAATATTTTTTATTGCATTATATTAAGTAAGGTTTCTGTCAGTAACTAAACTGTAAGTCATGTTTCTTCCTGAAAGAACATCCAAATCGGGAAATCAAGTCAAGCAATGTACATTTTGATCATTGGTTTATATTCAGGAATAAAATATTATAATTACTAAGTTCTGAGAGTTGTTTTTGAAGACTGAAGTCATATTTCAGTACCAATATATGTTTAAGCCCCAGTGTCATATGGATAGTACGGATGTTTTGGAGATCTAAATAGAAAATAGTTTTTGTTCAAAGAACATAATAAAATGTGCTTAAAACTGCCCTGAGTGACTTAATGTTTTAGGTAATTCATAGTTTTAGCAGTATATGTTTCTTCTTATGTGTTTCTTGTAAATAGTGGCCTTAACTGGTAAACATCTCATTTTATCAGATTAATCAGAGAATAAATGGGGTTTCCTGTTAAGTATTTTGAAGGCCAGAGAAGTTAACTACAGTTCCTCCCAAACCCTTATTATTTCCTCTCTGTCTAAAATGCCTGGATTTCTGTCTCTGCCAAAGTAAATAAAATAGAGAGACTCTAAGGCGAGCAGCTCTCCTTGCTAAACAGGGAGCTCTCAATCTGAAAATTGATCAATGTCTCAATTCAGTGGCTAGCTCAGAGTAGGCATCCATAAAATATCTGTTAAATAAATGAGTGATTCACTGTCCAGAACTACAAACAGAGATGCTGCCGGTGCAAAAACTCTGATGCATTGAATACTTGCATTGAAAGCATTTTATAAATCATTAATGGACCCTGCTTATGTTAATCTTCTGCTTTGTCTTACTTGTGAAAAGTGACCCTTAAGCTTCCTGGTGACTTGTCTGTCACTGATGAGAGTTTCTGTTGTTTAAGTAATGAATGGTCTTCACCACTAGGGGATGATTTCTAACTTTGGGCATGTTTACTTTTGTTACAGCTATTGTCCAAGGAGACACCTTAGAAGATATATATAACCAATGCAAGCTTGTAATTGAAGAGCAATCTGGGCCTTTCATCTGGATTCCCTCAAAGGAAAAGTTATAAATTAGCTACTGCGCCTCTGATGACAGAAGAGCATTTAGAAGAACAAAATATATATAATATACTACTTGGAGGCTTTTATGTTTTTGTTGCATTTATGTTTTTGCAGTCAATGTGAATTCTTATGAATGTACAACACAAACTGTGTGAAGCCATGAAGGAAACGGAGGGGCCAAAGGGTGGGACAGAAAGGACACTGCAGAATGCAGGAAGGCTTTGGTTTGCTCAAAGTACCAGGTGTAGGGATGAACCTCTGACAGGCTTTCTGCCCAAGAGATGGGCAGCCTCCTCACCCCAGCAGATGTCCAGAGCTGATTTAGCTGCTGAGCTCTCTGTGTTTTTTTGCTTTAAAGAAAAGTTGCCAGCACTTGAACCTCACCAATCTTCCCATTTCCCACATCTGTAATTGGTATTCTTCGAGTTTTATAACTATGCACATCCTTTGATTTCTTAACAAGCAAAGGAAATAAAGAAGGAAAAAAAAGAAAGGAGTCCCTCTGGAGACGACATACTATCAGGGAAGGATAATTGTATAGTTTTCTTGACTGGCATCTGCAAAGACAAGCATTTCATAAAATTCACAAGTGTATGGAGGACTAACCTTATAAGAGGAGGGGATTCCACCTGGGATTAGCTTTATGATTGTTGATTGTCTATTTTGCCATTTATAAACTGAAAGAAGGCACTACAGATGAGAATAATTTATACAATAAAATATATTAAATGTATAGAAACGAATTTCTATAGGTTAAAAAAGTTTTGTGAAATATTTTGTAAAGACTAATTAATTGAAAGACTAAATGTATGCATTATCAGCAGATGATCAAATTCAAGAACTGGAAGTTGCACTCTCCCTTTTGTTGCCAATGATCCATTAAGAGCATCTGAGTTCCTTCCAAGTCTGACTTCTCCCTCACTTACCTCCCATGATCTCCCTTGCACACTAGTGATACACTCTTATGGAGCACATCCCTTAATGAGTTGCCCTTATGGATATTTTTTAGAAGATATTTGGTTAATATACTTTTTAACTGATGGCTTTTCAGAGAAAAACTCAAGCAAATGATCTAAAGGGAATTCTTGCTTTTCTCTAGTTAAATAACCTGGGCCCACCATGCAAATAGTTGAATAACTTTGTTCCTAGTTACTTGCTTACTTGGTTACTTAAAGGACCATTTAGTATTCTGGCCAGCCATGAGTAATTAGAATTATTCTTTTTTTGTTGCACAGAGTAATTTAGAGTTTTGTAACAGCCAGAGTTGGTGTTAGAACCATGGGGAGATCTGTCCCAATATGCACTATTTCTTTGAGGAAGAGAGAAGTAAGTGTCTGGTTGGAGGGGTGAGGGGTTCAGGCTTTTTTGTTTCAGTATATAGGACAAAGAGAACCACAAGGAAAGACAATTATGACTTTGAGCTCAACCAATTGAACTGCCTTCCTTGGGGATGCACCTGGACCAAGTTTATTTTTTAATAATTATAATGATGATTTTAAAAAAAAGAAACCTCCCAAAGCCTATAAACTGAAACAGAAGAGTTTGTTTCCCACTTTAGAGCTGATGGTGACATCAGCGTTGGTTTTGCCTAAGGTGTTTAGAGAGAGACTTTTCAGTGATATTAATAACCACTTAACTCTGGGTTCTGTGCATGCCCAGATTAAGCCCCATCGCCTTATTTCTGGGGTACATCAAGACCTGGCAGGGATTCTGCCACACTGTGCAGCAAACCAGCATGTAGGCTGGGGTGGGAGAGCAAAAGATAGAGTCATCAGAGTGATGGGGCTTCTTCACAGTAAGAACACTGGAGCTCAAAAATGAGAGTCTCTTTCCAAAAACAAGGGTTGTTCATCTTACACTAAATGCCATTGTCTGCCTGGCTGCAGTCATCAAAACAAACACAAAAATGCAAAATTATGCATCTACCTAAAGAGGCTGCCTTTGCCAATGGAAGGGCTAGCAATGCATTTTCCCTCTGTTGAAAGTTAAATTTCCAGAGACATCCTTAGAGTGCTCAAAATGTTAAAGATGTGTTCATATCTGCAACTCGCCAGTTTCAGGTCAAGGCCAACTTTCATCATTATTGCTCCCAAAAGTTTTCTGCCACCAGAATGCCATTCCTGATCCCAGCTCTATTTTTAGGCCACCATGATAACTTCTTTGGTTTCTCAACTGAGCATGCAACCATTTATTTAGAGGACTGTCATTAATGAGTAGATGTTTTCTTGGGTCGTGTGATGTGCTTTCCATTTAATAGTATTGCTGTGGCTGAGTACAATCAAATTGAACCACCAACCCTTGGTTTTGTAGTAATATATTTATTTTCCTAGTGTAGATGCTTCCAGATTAGAATTGGCATTTGCACTGATTTTTTATGTAGATTTATATAAATATAGATATACATATATATTTGCTTGAAAAATCACCAAGCGAATTGGTGAGAGGGTCTTTTCCTATAGAATTTACACCTCCATTTGTTGTGTTGTCTTGCGCTTCCCAATGTTGAGGTCTCTATGGCTCCAATGAACTGGTGTATTTTGCAGCAAATCTAATGACTTGAATGGAAATGAAATGAAAGGTACCCAGATTACATCTGGTGCAAATGCACTTGGAGCCTGGGGCCAGACTGGTGCTAACATTGCAAACTTTGTCCGGAGCTCTCTCCAATCTGAAGGCTTGCTGGGGGCGCAATGTCACCTTCATATGCTGGGCCCTTTCCGAAAAGTGCCAGATCGTGTCACTGGTGCTATTTTTCATGCTCTGGTACAATGTGTAGCACCACGGGGGTCTCAGCTCTACCAAAATCAAAATCCCACTTGTCAGCCAATTGCTGGGGCATTTGGTTTTTTTGCTTTCCTCCTGCAGGATTTCTTGGCCATTTATTTTCAGGCCTTTCTCCCAGCCCCAAATTCTTAGGTTGGCTCTATCTGCTTAGCAAGCCCATCTTTACAAAGCTGCACTCGGGTGCCTCTGTGAGCTGTCTTAGATCCTACTGCCAGCCCTTCTGGACGCTGAGCCAAGGGAAAGCTTTCTGCATCTCTGGTTCTTCTGCTTTTTTGTTTTTCCTTTCCTCATTCTTTCCCAGTGCTCACCTCTTCCTATCTCATCCTATCCCTCTTTGTGTTTTTCCTGGCTTCTTGAAGCCACTGATCTTGTCCTATAACCCTCCTTCACTCCCTCCCTGTTCTTTGTCCACCTCCCCTTTAGTCTCTCTCAATGCCCTTTTTATACCTTTCCTGTCCTCTCCTCTCATCCCATCTCTGGTCAACTCTTCTCCTACACCCCCTTCCTTAATTTTTCTGTCCTATAAAGGGCTTATGGCTGCTTCAGACAGCAAGTCCATACACTGGACTAATGACATATATACTTGGGGTCACCATTTTTCCTACTCAGCCCAGAAAGCAAAGCTGAGTGTGAGGCCCTGACCTGGAGCCAACTCCAGCGTGCCTCCCGGAGCCAGCCTGCACCGCTGCCCTGGTAGCGATGATGCATGTGCTGTGGGCCCTGCCAGCACCTGGGTACCTCTGCCTGAACCCTAGTCCTACACGAGCTCACTCCCAAGACCACCCCGAGTCTCTGAGGACACTTCCTTTCAGTAAAGGCAGACTCTGGCCCCAACAATTATTCTGACAGCAAACCTCTTCCTTCTCATTGAAGCCATGTCATCGCCTTGGTTTGGAGAGAGATGATTTTTTCCTCCTACTTTCTTTTTCCCATTTTCATGTGAAGCCCCCCTCTGCTTTTCAGCTGGTGATTGCTCCGGTGAGATTAAATGGACTTGCTGGTAAAATGACAACTTTTTCTTTCCTGTCTTGGTCCTGCCTAAAATTCCTACAAAAAAAAAAAAATTAAGCCAAGGACTCAGGCTAGTTCTTAAATTTATCATACGAATTTGTCACTTCTAGGGGAAAAAAAAAAAAAAGGATCAACTCCCTTAAAGCATGTGGAGTAGCTCCTGTGACAACCAATTATCCAGGAGACTCCCTACAGAACTCTGTGGATATACCTTTTACTTATGTGTATGTATGGTCTATGTGATATGCATATCATGTATACACATATTACATTAGGTATGAATGAATGTGGTTGGAAACTCACACACACACTCCAGTCTGTAAATATCCTTCCTCACTGAAACCTGTGCTTTGGAAATCATTTCTTGTACAGCTGTGCAGTTTCTTGTAGCAGCTGAGGACAAGCTAAGACAGGAGGACAATTTAGACAAAATGAGCTAAAAGAGTAGAGTACAGTATCTCCCTAGCAATTCCTGAGAACAGACAAACCAAGTGGGAAGGTTGACTCCCAATGGATGGCAAACTTTTCTTCTCTCCCTTTTGAATTTGTGTTTTCTAAGTGTGTCTTAACTTTTGAGTGCACCAGGTTGTACCTGTTAGATCCTTTGAATATGACAATTTTGTGCTTCTCTCTGACAGGATGTTTCTCCACTGAGCTGTAGTACAGGAGGGAGGGAGGGGGGATTACTCCTTGCCTGGGCTGGAGTTTACAGAGACACTGCACAGCTTACACTCCTGTTAAGTGTAAATATTCAACACTTCCATTCCATTTGTGTAAAAAATAAAGCACACACGATTATAAAATCAAGATGTATATTTCATACTCAGTGTGTCCGTGGATATTTATTGCGTTTCCCGTGTCAGCAGTGGCCCCGTTGTAAAAATGCTTGATAGTGTTTATAAACATGTCATGGTTTTATTATAAGATATAAATATTAAAACATTTTATACTTTATAGCAAATTATATTCTCCCAAAGCATAATTTGTCTTATTTCATAAAGAATAGAATCATCTTTATTTTTATCAAATTTGTCTAATTTCAGAGCTAAAGTGCACTTAGGGTAGGTTTGCTCTGAGAAATATGGGCAGTGCAAATAGGAATTGACATAGTGATTTTGTATATTTTTAAATATTTGCCTGCTTTTAGTCAGAATTTTTTGCCAAAAGTGAATGATATTTTAAAAGACAGGCTTTTAAAGACAAATCTTTTGGGGGGAAAGAATTTCCCAATGACAGAATCCCAGAAAATATTAAGAATAAAGAAAAATATATATATTTTTACCTGATACTTATGATACAAAGAGTGGCACAATTTGGGGATGCGGTGTCATTATCTATACACATTGAGGCCACAAAACATACTAGCTCCAAAGATCTGAACATATTAAAAAAAATGTCAAGTTTGGGAATTTGGATCTTCCAGATTCCTAAATTTTTCTCAGGTTAAACATGCTATCTTGTACTGACATTTAGCCAGCACAGGTCTGATAGCTGGAGAACCAAAGCGAATTCCTTCCATGCAATGGGTGAAATGTCATCAAAAATCAAACCTGCCACTCAGGAAGCCATCCCAGCCATCACTGTGAGCTAGTGGGCATGATGACTGATGCCGTCCTGATGCTTGGTGGTAAAGACCCTCAGTTTAAGATACTGACTGAAGCTGCAAGACCAATGCAGACCTCAGGTTTCAACGATTATAAAATTTTTAGCACTCGCAGTCTCACCTTGTTGAATATTAATGGTGACACTACAAAAAAAGCCATATTCACTTGAATAGCATGTGTTTATTCAGAAGGAAAGAAAACTTTAGAAGAGCATTTGACTTTTCCTTGTGTCCTATTTCATTTCTATGTAACTATTTTTAAACCTGATGATTCTGGAAGTCTCAGAAGCTAGAAGTGACCTCTACATCTCCAACCTAAAAGGGCCCAGCTATGAAGCTTTCTCTGTGGAGACACTGTGAGACCAAATATTTAGCAACAGAACTTAAAAGCCCCACCATGGCACAAAGCTAAGGGACATTTGTAGAGGGAGCCAACACGAGCTTTCTTTACACAACCACACCTGGCGTCTTGCAGGTTGTCAAGGGAGAATGTTTTCTATGGACCAGGACTGCTGGGCCTCATAGCCCCAATTTTTGTTTTCTGTGACTCAACTTTCTCATGGGGACACCTCAAAAGGCAACACCACTGTCAACAAATTGGTTCCTTTCCCTTCTAATATTATGGCCAAAGTGTCAAGTCCAGATCTTGTTCCTTATTTCCCTTAGCACAGATGGGACAAAGCTGAAACAGTTGTCAAACTTTGCTAAAGGGAATTAAAAGATAATCTCATTTACGATATGAGCTTAGAGCCCAGTTCCTGGGTGGCTGCCACGAGACAAAGGCCATCTTTCTCCCACCACCAGGGGTCCCTCCAACGCGGCTAGAGCAGATGTTAAACCTTCAGTTTCCACAACTGACTCAGCAGCTGTGTATCAGCTGTGGGTTGAGGGACCCTGCTGACTCCATCCTCTTTGTTCCCATGTAGTAAAATACCCATTGAGGTGATTCGTGACGATTGATCTGATGGCTCTTTCACTGTAGACTTCCAAGGACAAATGATTTTTCAGCATGCTTCACAACTGAAAACTGACACATCAGTAAGACACCACTGGTCAGGTTTTCAAAGCCAAAAACTTAGGCACTAAAGGGACTGAACCATATGAAATGTTCAACATCCTTAGCCATCATGGAAATGCAAACCAAAACTACACTGAGATTCTGTCTCACTCCAGTTAGAATGGCAATTATCAGGAATACAAATAACCATAAGTGCTAATGAGGATATAGGACAAGGTAGGGGAAAATAACTCTTATACACTATTGGAGGCAGTGTAAATTAGTACAGCCACTTTGGAAATCAGTGTGGAGGTTCAAAAAACTAAAAATTAACATACGATCCAATTATACACCTCCTTGATCTACCAAAAGAATTAAAATCAGCATACTTTAGAGATATGTGCTGTTAGTGAGCTTTTTCACTGCTGTGACTAAAAGACCTGACCAGGACAAATGCAGAGGAGGAAAAGTTGTTTGGGGGCTCAGTTTTAGAGGTCTCAGTCCACAGACAGCCGGCTCCATTCCTCTGGGCTCAGGGTGAGGCTAAAGATCATGGTGGAAGAGTGTGGTAGAGGAAGTGGCTCAGGGTATTACAATCAGGAAGCAGAGAGAGATTCCACTGGCCAGATACAAAATATATATTCTAAAGGCACACCCCCCCGAAATTCCCACCTCCTCTAGCCACACCCTACCAGCCTACAGTGCCACTCAATTAATCCCATCAGGAAGTAATTCACTGATTGGGTTAAGGCTCTTCTAACCCCATCATTTCATCTCTGAATGTTCTTGCATTGTCTCACACATAAGCTTTTGGGGGACACATCACTTCCAAGCCATCACACCCACCATTCTGTAAAATAGTGATGTATGGCAAAGAGGGACACAGTTCTCTCCCACTTCCTTTCAAGTCCTTGTCTTCCTGGTTCTGGTTCTGGTTCTATCTTGTTTGGATGATTGGTCAGGTAACCACCTGCTCTTTAAGCCTTTGGAAGGATGACCTATATGAACATTGCAGTGGAGAAGCTAAACTTACCATGAGATAAAAACACATAAAACAGGCATCATTCTGGCAAAAGAAAATGGCCTCTACTTACTTCCCTTTGAAGGAAAAGGGAGAAAAGCATTTTCAGGTGGACATTCCAATTTTTAAATTCCTTATGACTTGAAAAAGCAAATTACAATCCACAGATCCTTAGTAATGGAGTTAGTCCCTCAGAAAGGACAGATGATTTCTATTCAACAAAATGTGAAACAAACAAGTTGAAAGGTTGGCTCCTAATTGGATTGTTTGGTTTTCATGAGCCACACCTGTCTTTGATGCCCTTTGAAATCTTCACACAGAAATATTGCATTCCACCAGGCTCCTTCATCTGGCAGTTCTGGAATGAATAACTCCTGCATGGAAGAACTCTCTCCCCCCTGGGCTTTCCAAACCAGGTTCTTATAATATTATTTACACTAATTTACTTTCAACCACCACATCTGGCTTTAGTCCTTTTCCCTAACAATCTGTGTTTTGATTACCTGAAATTCTTCCGAGTTTAAAGGAAAGTGTCACGTATTAAACTGGAGTCAAATAACCGGCTAAAATTTAGGTTTTTAAGCCAACATTCACACAAAGAAAGGCTAGGCGTTGCTTAATGAAAACTGCTACACAGGAAAATGTTTCCAAAGAAGCTAGAATTTTCTCTTATTTGGTAATCATTCCTTACACTTTTGGTCAGCCAACAATAAACACTTGCCCGCAGCCTGGCTCTATTTAGATGCCAGAGTAAAAATAAATAAATGCACAAAGCACAGTCTGTTTTCTCAAGGAATTCGAGCTTCCTGGCAAAGAATTAAAAGGGGGAAAAGGGCAATTAAAATGCAGGAGCTCTAAAACAAACCAGTTAGTGCATAAGATTCTGGAAGAGCGACCTTGACATCTGAGTCAGACAAGAACCTCTCCTCTGATTGCCTTCATTACTCAGACCTTAGGAAGAAATTTTATGGCAAAACTGAATCTCTTCCCTGGTGTTCCTGTCAATCCCATGATATCACATCCACAACAAATCTCATTGGCCACCTGACTGGCCTATTATATAGACAGTTTTCATTTGGCTTGGTTTGGTTTTTCTTTATTGTCAGGTTTTTTTCGGGTTTTGTTTTTATTTTGGTTGTCTTGCCTGGGTGGCATGAAGATGACAAACTGGCTTTCCAGATAAACAAAAAGGGCAGAACATGAGGTATGGGTTGGACATGAAATATGGGGAGATCAGTGGTTCATCATTGTCTCTAACAGGCAGCAAGAATTATCAGGAAGCAAGAAGCAACTTGAACAGTTGGCCAAGATGTAGGATAATCCATGCACTTATAAGGAAGTCTGGAGAGATGAGAGTCTGTTTCCTTTGCAATACATTGACTTGTTTGATTCATAAAAAATATTTGGCTGAAAGAAAAATGTTGTGGAAGAATTCAAGCCTCTTCCTGGTAGGCCCTCTGTCCACATTTAACCAGTCTGTGGTCAAGCACTATGGGATTCTGCCTGACTCTGAGCAGAGACACCTTGGATGAACCAACTCCAGGCTCCTATGTCACATGTGTGGCCACCAGTGCCACCAAGCTGTTTCACCTCTGTGCCCACAGCCCATCAAGACCAGCACAACACTGAGGTAGGACCAAGGCCCCCATGCTATGGGATGCTTGTTGCTTAGGTGAACTCACAGCCCAAGACCAGCCACAGGTGATGCTAGCTCAAAGTCCAACAGACTCTCCCTGGTCCTGGAGCTGTTTCAGAAGCTCCATCTGTTAGCAGATCTGGGGATGGGACCATTAGGAGCTGCATTTCACCAGCTGCCTTCTTCAATACATCTTTTCATATTTTTATGCTAATAGTAGCACTATCCTTAGCTCTTGTGATGGTCATTTGGTTCAGCTTGGTGTTCCCATGGGAAGACCATCACCAGAGGATCTTAGCTGCCATCTTGCTCTGCTCTCCCACTTAACAAGCATATATCGAGTTGAGTCAATCGTGGCCCCTGGACCCTGAAGGGAAGAGCAGCATGAAGGGAAAATGAGAGGTGAGGTTGTAAGAATTGAAGAACAACTATTGGAGCCATCAAGAAAGCCTGGCATTTGAGCTATACCTTGAAAGTATAATAATGAGAGAGAAGGAAGATGGACATCAGGAAGACAGAAACATAAAGAAAAGCTAGAGGTGGGAAAGGTAAAGGTACCTATAAG